GCATATCGGACCGTAACGTCCCGAATTATGGCCCCTGATTCTACGAAAAATCGCGTTTTTAGCTCGTGGACCCTATAGAGGTCATACTGTTAATCTTATTTTGATGAAACTTCAAATGTAAGTTTATAACCCAAAGATCTCGGTTCCTTTCGATATTCGCGCCTATAGAGGTCATACTGTTAATCCTATTTTGATGAAACTTCAAATGTAAGTTTATAACCCAAAGATCTAGGTTTCTTTCGATATTCGCGAATATCGGACCGTAACGTCCTGAATTATGGCCCCTGATTGTACGAAAAATCGCGTTTTTGGCTTGTGGACCCTATAGCGATCATACTTTTTATCCGATTAAACAAAAACCGTTGGAATATATCGCCGTTACATCCTAAGGTTGGTTGAGTTCAAATTTCGTAAAAATCGGAACAAAACTGACAGACAAAATGGCCGCCCCGTGGACTCAAATAGCGTAAACATATGGTATATAAAGGTTGTGGACCCTCTAGAGGTCACAATTTTCTTCAGATTTTGATGAAACTTGGAATTTTACAACCCAAAGATCTTGGTTCCTTTCGATATTCGCGCATATCGGATGGTAGCTTCCTGAATTATGGCCCCTGATTGTACGGAAAATCAGGTTTTGTGCTTGAGGTCCCTCTAGACGTAACAATTATTATCCGATTTAAAACAAAACGTTCAAATATATCACTGTTATACCGTAATTTTGAGTTCGAATTTCGTGAAAATCGGACCAAAACTGCCGGACAAAATAGCCGCCCCTCGTAACAATTAGTGTAAACATCTGGTATATCAAAGTTGTGGACCCTCTAGAGGTCACAATTTTGATCTGATTTTGATGAAAGTTGAAATGCATGTTTTAAGATCTTGGTTCCTTTCGATATTCTCGCGTATCGGATCGTAACTTCCTGAAGTATGGCCCTCGACTGTACAATAGAGGTCACTTTTTTAAAAATATTTCACCATACCACCATAATGAGGGTTGAATTCGAATTTCGGGAAAATCGAAATGAAACTGACCGACAAAATGGCTGCTCTTTGTACGCAAATTGTGTAAAAGTATTCAATACGAAGGTTGTGGACCCTCTAGAGGTCACCTTTTTTATCCGATTCTGATGAAACTTAAAACATATTGCATCTGATTGTACAAAAAATCCCGTTTGTTTTTAGCTTGTTCTCTATCCATCTCTTGCAAAATGTGGGCGTATCCTGCCTGGCAGCCGCTGGTTATTTTTTAGAAACGTTTATTATAAATGATTATTAATACGTTTTAAAAATGTTTATTATTTGCTGAGCACTGACTGTCAAGACATTCCGATGTAACCGTTGTTGGCGCACGAGAACAAGCTGGCTGCTAGGCCTAGCCTACATCATCAGTACATCTCCATTCGGCTGGAATGTACATGCCAATAAACCTTGTTTTTTCTAATGTTTGAGCTATTTTGGCGTCTTGAAGTCACTTTGCAATGAGCCTACAATCTAAAGTACGACGACATCATCGGCCGTGGCCGAGAAATGAAATGAAATGTGGTTTAGGCCTTCTGCTCCTATAGGCCTAGGCCTAGAACTGGGCTAATGAAGACAGACATACGCCATCATAGATCGTAACTAGAGTCTGAATAGTACAGTTCTTTGACGCCATATAGTGTGCTATGAATGAGGGAAATTTTACGTGCCCGAGGCAAGTAGGCCTAGATTCTTCATTCTAGAAAACCGACGTCTATGAAGTACGATGAATTATTGAATGGGGCTCGGTCAATGCCTATGTTTAATAGTCATAAATAGGCCTAGTGTAGTGCCGCTCAAAAAGAAGAAAAATATATTTTGGTGCCGTAGCAGTAGTAGCTAGCACCATATTCTGTGGTTATTTAAATTATATCAAAAAATGTCCCTCCCCCTCCCACCTTTGTCTATTTAACAACTATCAAAAAAAGACTGGCCATTTCCTCTGAAACATATTCGCAGGCCTACGTATGTATGTACAGTAGATCGGCATGAAAGTGTACTAGCACAAGACACTGACACATGCCGTGTAGAATTGTACCGCCATGAATAATAACCCACACTAGATAGATAGAGTAGGCTAATTTCTAGCAACGAACAATACACCTCTTTAAGGTTCAAACAAAACAGAACAGGCCAGACAGTGCCGCCAACTGCGAGAAGACATGGTATGAAAAGAAAATGCAGAGGTCGGCCAACTGATTTTTTTCCGTTAAAGATGGTTGTGATAGACAACCCTGTAGTTCAGAAGCGTTTGTCCTGGAAAATAAATTAATGCGCTGGAGTCTGTTGGGTTAGGTAAACAAGCCTGAAGATCACTTTTTTGTGGACCGATAAAATATTTAAAGACCTGTCAACTGTATGTTATAAACGTATTTCAACTAGGCTATACAAAAATAACACTGCAGTTTACCGTAATTGCAGGAAATATTTTTGGACACTATACTAGTAGTATTACTCTATAGACTTTAATTGTGTTGATACTGCGGAATCGAATTTAAATCTTATTTCTAAAACATTTGAAAAACCATTACAGCACAAGGTTGACAGAAGATAGATCCTACAGGGTTACTTTTTACACACCACTCTGTTCTCTACTAAAAGCCTGACAATCTGCGCACAATTTTGAAAAGCGCAGGCGGTGACAGACTGCACGACACGGCAGTGCAGATTTCAATTTAACCGAGGGGTGAAGAATGCACGCAACATGGGTGGGATTCATCTTGACAATGGCATATTCTTCGTTTTTGCTTCAGAATGCCTGAAAGAGGACGATAAAAAAAAATACTTAATGTGCTGAGGGACCTAAGTGAAGTTCAACTAGAGTAATTCCTTAAAAAACGATGTCCACCCCTTCGAGTACAGGAAGGCAAACAGTCACGGATCACCCATGAAAATCAACGGACGTACACCAGCAGCATTGTACAGCATATTCAAATCACGGTGTGTTTATGTTGTGCCAACTACAAGGAGTATAGTACATGTAGTTACCTTTTTATGTATTGTTTTCTAGGCCTAAAGAATAAAGCATTAATTGTGAGTTGAATGGCCGATTTCAGTCAATATGGTTTTAAAAGGTGTGTCAGCTGTAGGCCTATTCATTTTAAACTATTATTAGGTTAATGAGACTTCGTGTAATTGATTTGCTTAAACGATGTTGTCGTTTACTTTCTATATTTAGAAAAAAACGTTTGAACATATATCACCGTTACACCGTACTGTAGGTTGAGTTCGAATTTTGTGAAAATCGGACAAAATGGTGATCAGGGTTGTAGACGTAGACCTAGAAGGTCACAATTTCGAAACTACCTGACAATATGGCCACTCTGCTTGTACGCAAATAGTGTAATACCAAGGTTGTGGACCCTGTAGAAAAAAGTCATAATTTTTATCAGATTTTGATGAAACTTTAAATTATATGTTATATGTCCTAGGATATCGGTTCTTGTTGTTATTTGCACATATCAGACCGTAAATAAAAATTATATTTGAAAATAGTGTTGAATTATTATATTATAAATGTGTGTCAGCTGTGGCAAGAAATGATTCCTTTGGCAAACAACAAAGAATCATGGTGAAAAATAGTCGGTAAGGATTCCAAAATAGCCTTAGACTAGAGGTGGAGATGGGCGGTATTTTCATATTGCAGATATATAGGAAGCGATAGGAACTGTCAGAGGACATCGTTCGCTTAGAGACATTTCAAAAGAAATTAGCAAAATGTGGGCATATCTTGCATGGCAACCGCTTGTTAATATTATATAACTGTTTTAGGGTGAATGAAGCACCAGCAACCCCATTACCAGTTTGTATGTTCTCAATCAACTTTGCTCATGTTGGAATTTGCTTCACTGGTCAGTTGAAATTTTAATGGTGAAAAAGAGTAACATTGCATTAAAACTACCTATTAATACTGGAAAAGTAAAAAGTACATATTTTATGGATTTCCTCATTTCAGCACCACGCTATTGGAGTTGTACATGTATGTACCAAGTGCAACCACTCTGTAGCGTACAATCAGAGATTGTGACATAACGACCTCCATGGAAACCTTGACATTGAACGAGCCTTTAACTTTGCAACTCGATTATCACAGGTAGACATTTCTATGGAAGGGTATCGCTGCCAATATTAAATGCTCAGCTAAAATGTCTTTTCCATTGATTATATGTAAAAAGTACAAGATTGAAGCATTTTAACTGAAATTTTCAGCATATTCTGATTTGATTATCTATTTTAGAACTATTATAGCAAGAACTGCCGGCTCGTTATCTAAACCCCACATAATGCATCTTTAATACAGCTAGGTTTGAAGCACCCAAATGATCGTTGTCTCAAGTTATGAAATACGATTGTACCAAAAAATTATTTACCTATTTACAAATAGAAATGAACGTGCTTTTACTAATATGGAACATGATATCTGCAATATCGTATGGAGACTCGTACTTTGACAATGCACCCCCACCACCACCACCCGTAATCATGGTAAAATAGTTAAGTGCCATCCAAATTTGATCGTTTTTCAAGGTAAGTACATTTCTTATTGTGTGCCAGGCTGATTTCCTGTTATATAGTGTGGTGAATATCCTTATAGTGTGCTGGCTTATAGTGTGCCAGGTTTCCGTATATGTTAATACGCCACGTGATATCCTACATTTGCATATCAAAGTTGATGCTCTGCGAAATATGCTATGCAGAAAGCGTGAAGGACAAATGAGATATGGCAGAGCGCAAATGTAAAATGTAATGAGAGAAACGTAAAATGTAGACACGTCAAAAAACAACATTTTCCCACAAAACATTTGTCATCTGACACTTAACATTTGACGTTTTACATTTAACTCTTGTCTTAGAGGTATTTAGACTTATCGTTACCCGTATTAGGACTTTGTACATTGTACTTTTTACATATATTCAATGGAAACGACATTGTCGCAGAGCAATCAATATTGGCAGCGATACCTTTCCATACATTTCATCTTGAAAGCGTGTGACTTGGTATTTGCGACGATCGAGGAATCTGATATACTCAAACGATCAGGGTATTACGTTAAGGCATTGATAACATGTAAGTAAGTCTTCTATTGAATATGCACGCCGTGTGCCTTTCGACCGAAATCAAATTTCACCCGTGGGCTGTGGGAATCGGCCTTTAGTGAAAGTTATTATTCGATTAATCAGTTACTATCAATAGCTCACCAAATAACATTGTGGTTATAGTCGTGTGTTAGATGCGGCCACCGAGTTGTTTCGTTAATAGAGCTATTCTTTAGGGCCATACAAAATACTAGGCAAATGTTTTTACAATAAATCATGTTGGGAACTCTTTTAAGGATCTGTTTATTTTTATTTTGTTTCCTTTTAAATGGATACATACTTATAGGTAAGTACAGATTTAATTATCACTCTGGCAATGTCCTGTCGTTTGCTCCGGCTAGACCCGGACAGCAACAAGGCGCGGTCGCTCATAAAATCAGATTTGCTCCAAAGCTACTGGCCTGGAAATTCCATATAACATTCCTGTATATAGTACTTTACCTGCCAATACGGATTCTATAAGGGGTACAGAAATGGTTTTGGAATCGACACCGGCACCAGTGGTCGCAGAGCCTGTAATTGTTTTAATTTTCTTTTTTGGGCCTGGGGCGGGGGGAGGCAGGAGTATTTATTTTATTAATTGTAAGAGTTTGGCCTAGTTGGGTTAATTAGCCCCAATAGTTTGCCAACTACCGCCAGGAGGAGGCACTCTTTTTAGTATTCATATTTTTTTTTTTCTTTTTTGGGGGGATGGGTGTTTTGTTTTATTGAACTGCTTCATATATGTAATTAATAGACCACTAGTAGGAGACAGTGCAATAAAGCAAAACACCTTTTTTATTTTTTTTTATTTAGTGCCGTACATTTGTTTGAGTGTATAAGCGTTCAGTAATTCCCGATCCCCATCCGAGGCCAACCGTAATATCCGGCGTATTACGTCCTGAGAGTTTGGCAGCTCTCCAGTAATTGTCCTGTGAAATACCCGCGCCATCGCCATTGTGGATTCGGGGGAAAAGGAACGTGGGGTGACGTTATACGCCATCTTGGCTAATAAAATGTTGTTCAAGGTCCGAATGGGCATGCGCCATAAAATGTATTATGAGGGAAATTTGCAGGGCCTACTTTTACATCGAATTTCAACTGCCAAGGGAGCATTTACGTGCACGGGAATTAACTTTCATGAATGTTTTTGTACGCTCCACTTAGTTTGGGCATATATAGTCGTCACCTGCCAATCGATCGGCCGGTCCGTTAACAACTGGTTTGTGAACGCGAAAGAGGCCACAGTTTTTACGGATCATTTTCAAATGAAATGAAATAAAGTTTAACGTCCTACTGTTCTGCCCAGAACTGGGCTAAGGAAGACTGGCATACGCCAAACAGTGTGCTATGAGGGAAATTTTGTCCGGGCAGCGGCACTACGGCCTACTCTTATATCGAATTCCAACTGTCAAGGGGTCTTTTACGTGCACGCCAATATGTACACGGGACCTCGGTTTTTCGTCCCATCCGAACGACTAGACAGCTGTCCTTGTCACGCCCTCTCCTTCATCACTGACAAGGAGGGAAACCACGCCGGAAAATCTGGATGAACTTTCTCGGCCAATGCAGGGATCGAACACCCGACGTCGAGGCTAGCGAGCCAGCGTCTTACCCACTTAGCCACCGTAACCCCCAAATTCCAAGTGAAGAATTATGATCATGAGAGCAGGAAACCTATTAATACTGGGCGTTCTGCCGACAAGCTTATCGGCTAGTTTTTAAGGATTTAATTTCATATTGTGCGCATGACAGGACGAACGGCATCGATATTGAGGGTCCGCTTTGCTGAAAACCTGGTCGAACGATAGAGGTTAAAGTTTCTAATGCATTATTTCGTGTTAAGCATTGTGGTCATCAGAAGACAAATCATATCGATATGTTTTGATGTGATTCGTGGAGGTGTTTTTATCATTTCAGAAACTACAACAGATGAATTTAACTGGCTGAATGTTGAGACATATTCATTCCGTCACACAATCAGTGGAGCTGCGTTTGATCATGTGATCATATTATACGAAAACAAAACAGGTAATGTATATGGTTATGGTTTCTGAAAATAGGGAGGCTCGCTGGCTCGGTGGGTAAGACGTTGGCTCGCTAATTTGGAGATCGCGTGTTCCATTCCTGCATTCCCCGAGAAGGTTCCTCGGGAACTTCCAGCGTGGTTCCCACTTGTCAGTGATGCTTGAGAGAGGGTCTGGCCAGAGACAGCGTATAGTCGTTAGCATGGTACGAAAAAACGGAGGTCCGGTATACACGTCAATGTGCAGGTAAAAGATCTCTTGGCAGTTGGAATTCGATAGTAGAGTAGGTTATAGTGCCGCTGTACGGGCAAAATCTCCCCGCATAGTTCATTGTATGGCGTATGCCCGTCGTCATTAGCCGTCGTCATTTCTGCAAATAAAAGTGGATGATTTGAACTGACTGAATGTTAATACATGTTCTTGAAGTCGCATACTCAGTGGGATTATTTCAATTGATCATTTGATTATATGTCCTGTTTGGACAACGATGGAGTTAGTTCCCTTGGTTTTTGAAAGAATGATTTTGTTTGATAACCAGGCTTTGTCGTCTAACCCCTTCCGCCAGCCAAACGGACAAGTACACAGTAAAGCACAAAAAAACCCAAAACAATACAGCACAGTTGATCGGTTATTTTCTGAAATAATCTATGTTTATTTCCCAATGGTAATTTAGCTAAATAAACGCTTTTGTTGACGCTTAATATAAAAAATAATTGGGTATTACATCTGATTGGATAGAGATTGTTGACGGTTAATATAAATAATAATTAGGGAATTACATCAGGTTGGATAGAGATTGTTATTCCCTTTAATGTTTGCAAATGGGATGTTTGAAATGACATTAGGTGCGGAGCTAAATCGCTGATATTTGGGACATAGAAATTGACACAAATTGGTCGCAACACATATAATAATGTAATATGAATGTATATAAACTGATTTATTCTAATTTAAAATCAGTTGTGTTCGGCGAAATACGCCAGAAGTCTCAGTCGAATGGTAATCTCTAGCGTCTGGTTATTCCAGTCTACATCGATAGTTTTTTGGCGTATGCTCCCCATATAAGAATATGACGTATACGTTTGAATGACTTCTGAATATGTCTAGTCTCGTTCTACGAGTCCCTTGTTACAAACGGCACTGAAACGCATTATGGTACACGATTCGTATACCAATTTAAAATATTCGATATCAGAAGTCCATCTTTTGCCGGTAAGATCACAACATCAACGTTGATTTAAATTGACAAACAATTCGTGTTTTCAATGTCGAATGGATGATATTGAGTTAGAAGAATTTAATTATCCTATTTTTTATAAACACAGCCATGTTTGTTCTTGTTTGACATTATTGACCCACGTCATCTAGCTTTCGCGTTTACTGCATTATTGATATCTTAAAGGGACTATCCCGAATTGAACAGAGTCTCAAAAATAAAAGTCTGAGTACATATGATATTTCAGCGCTTAAATATAGAGGAATGGTGTAATTACCTTGTCTCAAAGTTTCAGCCCAAAATATTAAGTCGTTTGGGCGTGAACGTCAAAACTGCTTATCCGGACACGTAACCCTTTTAGAATTTCGGGTCATTTTTTTTTGTTGGATGACCTGTTAATTGATTCCCGTTCTTTTAGAGGTCTATACAATGAATGACCCATGTGCTGTATTTGATAACGAAAGGTAAATTTCACCTACACATGATTTTTATAAAATTAAAGCCTGGTTTTATCCAGACCCCGCATAATACAGCTTGGGACACCAGGTTTAAGTTGTTTGAAAATATATCACAGATATTGAGTTAGTTTCCCGGCCCTGAGGTAGAGGATTTTAAGGGATTTTAACACAAGATTAAGAAGTTTTATTCTCTAAAATATTATCGGGGTTGGCCCTTTAAGCTATTTTATCGGTATATTTTAAAAGCTTTCTCTGTGTAAGTATTTGTTTTTATTTAAGAAATGTTTTCAACTGAGATACTGAAACTGACAGGAGGTGGTGATTACAGAACGTATTTATACATCAACATTGACCTAATCACTTGGGACAACTGGACTACTTTAATAAAAGATTACGCCAAGAAACATTCTGGAAATTATCTTAATTTTATAGTTTTCTTAGAAGAAGAGAATATTTATTCTACTATAACGAATGTAAGTGCCATCATTTATGAAATGAAATACTAATTTAGGTTTCCATCACAGATTACATCCACACATCAAATGTATCTTGGTCAAAGAACATCAAATACAATTTTAACAAAACATCCACCAGAAATATTTAAAATTGTTATTGTTACATTTAATTCTATAATATACCTTTAACCGATTAAACATACATTATGACGTCATATTAATAATGATGCCATTGTAATAATCATATTAAACATATATTATGCAAGAACTAAATCTGCCTATTGCGGGTCTTTCTTTAGGCCTGAAAGTGATATCTAAATTATTAATTAGACATTAATTAACATGAAAAGACCCTAATCAATTCTCGATGCCATCTTATGTGTCGGATTGTCACTGGATTTGAATCCGATCGGCTGCTCAACGCTCATTGATGATTAAATCCAAAAGTGGATAATCGAGACTTTTTTTTATCGTACCGACTTTAGTAATGATGACCGAGGCTAGGCCTAAATATTAGTCGCTAACATATCGGTTCAGAGTGGAGCAATTTGAGTAAAAGTTTCAGCGTAGTCCCTTTACATTATCTGGTTTTTAACTATTATAGTGAAAACCTGTCAGTTCATTATCTAATCTTCCATAATGTCCCTGTGATATGTGATAGAAATTCTGTATGCAAATCAACCAGCCAGACAGACAGTGATAATACATCCATGAAAATTGCTACATGCATATCATTGAATAAACAAATCCCAATCAATCAATTTTGAGGACAAGTTTGACTGGAACATATTTTGTCTGTGAATATATTACGTACACTTAAACTAGCCAGGTAGGCCAACGATTACCCCTTCCATAAACGCAGACTTCCGGTGAGTAATGTCGATAATACGTTTTCTGTGTATATAATAAGAAGAATATTATTGATTCAGATAAACTGTATTGATGAGAATTCTAAAAAATCCACCAACATCAGACATTGGTCAACATGGATCATATTTCATCACTTGACAGAGTATCACCTACTGGAAAATTTGACAAACAATTTTGACAATATGGCGCTTGTCAAACTTCGTGAAAAGGTTAGTTGGGGTCGAATGCATTTTTGAAATTATTAAATCCGCAAATATAGTTTTTCATATCATCAATAAAAAGTGGTCATGATTTTATGTTATTTTTAGTTTACCTACACCTATAACATTAAAATTGAACAAAACAAAAATTCTTTTAAATGTTCTTTAGATACTATACTTCAGGGGATACCTTCTAAGCCTCGATGTTCATGGACGTAAATAATTTATCCTTCAGTCGTTGAGAGACAATACTCGAGTTTATTTGTTATTTTCTTTTTTATTTTAGCAGAATGGTGAGAATTCCTGTACCAATCTAATTATATATGAAGTACTAACACTTGTAATGTCATCACGTGGTTCCGTGTTTACTTCCGTTGATACGTCACGTCACTATGTCCTGTTTCCTAATATGGCATATGGTTATAATGGACGACATCTTGACGTACTGACTAAATCTGTAAGATTTTACATATCTTAAATTTATAACATGTATTCTCAGCTGCGATAAACATATGAGTGTCTTACCGGATATGTAATGCTAGGTTACCACTATCACGATTCGTGCTACGATCGAAATCGTTGTGATTCTATCACGTCTTATCATATATTGAGGTCTGCCGTCTGCCGTGTTGAGCGTATGGAAACGAATCTGAAAGTATCTGGACTCAATAGGGACAACCCTATCTCAACCCTTTACACGACAGTTAATTACATAAAGATGTACTTTAGAACATGTAGATTTTACGGAAAGTTTATTTTAGCTTGTGATCGATTACTCACATCTGAGACAAGGATATTTAACAGCTATACTACAATCTATATCCGGCTTCAAAGACTTGTTGATGAGTATCGTTGAACATGTTACTTTAAAATGTCTACATTTTATGAGACGTTTATTTTAGCTAGGGATCTATCACCACTAAATTCCGCGACAAGGGTATTGAGCACCTCGCCTGAACATTGCATTTAAGAAATTATCTTCTTGTTTTCTCAGTGGCCACCCTTAATGGATGAAAAAGATGAAAATGGGACACAGATATTCGTAGGCTATTTAGTGGATATGATGGAGATCATATCACAGAATCTTAATTTCACGTAAGTATACAAAAGAACGTACAGTTCCAATTCATCACGTGGTGATCACATCTTCGGTATAATGGCCACATGGTACTAGTTCTGTTGAGGCCAATGACTACAAAATGCCGTTGTGGTGCTTTAAGTAACAACTTCTGAGTTACGTTTTAGGTACATTTGCTGTTATTTGTGGGTAAGACGCATTGGCCGAGAAAGTTCATCCCGATTTTCCGGCGTGGTTTCCCCTTGTCAGTGATGCAGGACGGAGGGCCTGACAAGGACAGCTGTCTAGTCGTTCAGATGGGACGAAAAACCGAGGTCCCGTTACAAATTGGCGTGCACGTAAAAGACCCCTTGGCAGTTGGAATTCGATATAAGTGTAGGCCGTAGCGCCGCCTCCCGGGCACAATTTCCCTCATAGCACACTGTATGGTGTATGCCCGTCTTCATTAGCCCAGTTTAGGAGCAAAACAGTAGGACGTTAAACCCAATCTCATTTCATTTCATTGCTGTTAATTCGTTGGGTTAATCAAAGTGTCGTTTTCAGGGGTTGCCGAACCTATGAAACTGTATCTTTGTTGAGAGAGAGAGAGAAATGGGGTTTAACGTCTACTCGACACAAACTAGGTAATTTCGGGACTAACACATGGTTCAACTTTATTTCAATAATTCGCTTGCGCGTAGGGGTCTTTAGCAGTGGGAGGACCCGGAGAAAACCCACGAGGTTGGACAGGCGACCCTACTCCCTGTCACGTACAGACCGTATGATACAGCGCGCGCGTGCTAACCATTCGGCCATCCCCTCTTTGTTAACATACCTTTTGCATTAATATTAACATTTATCGAACTTGCTTATTAGGCTAAAATGAGCCGCTCTGTTTGGATTCAGTTTTATGGATGTTGTGTGAATTAATATAAATATAGGTAGATTTTGAATATATAAGGAATTTAAAACCACGATTAAATGAATTTTCAACAAGCCAACAGTGAGGCTGATGTCCCCCGCCGAAATAGGAAAATAATTAGAGGACACATAAATTTATCACAAATTATCTTTTACAAAGTATTGAACAATCAAACAGTATATCTTTACTTATAGTCTAACAATCAAAGTAGGAGAGTTATTGTTTTCCAAAGTCTCGACCAATCAAATTGCGTATCGCTCTGCTTACCCTGAGCAGAAAATGCTCATTATCAAACTTAGTCAAGGTATTACTGTAATGAAACTATACACCAAGTTTCATCAATCTCACTTAATTAGAACTAAAGTTATCGTGTCCCAAAGCATCAACCAATCAAATTGCTTATCTCTGCTTACCCTAAGCGGAAAATGCTCATCTTCGAACTCCATCAAGGCATTGACCTAATCAACACATACACCAAGTTTGAACATTCTAGCTCAATTAGGAAGAGAGTTATCGTGCCCCAAAGTATCAACCAATCAAATTGCTTATCTCTGCTTACCCTAAGCGGAAAATGCTCATCTTCGAACTCCATCAAGGCATTGACCTAATAAACACATACACCAAGTTTGAACATTCTAGCTCAATTAAAAGTTATCGTGTCCCAAAGCATCAACCAATCAAATTGCTTATCTCTGCTTACCCTAAGCGGAAAATATTCATCTTCGAACTCCATCAAGGCATTGACCTAATCAACACATACACCAAGTTTGAACATTCTAGCCCAATTAGGAAGAGAGTTATCGTGTCCCAAAGCATCAACCAATCAAATTGCTTATCTCTGCTTACCCTAAGCGGAAAATGCTCATCTTCGAACTCCATCAAGGCATTGACCTAATAAACACATACACCAAGTTTGAACATTCTAGCTCAATTAGGAAGAGAGTTATTGTGTCCCAAAAAGTGTGACGGACAGACAGACGGACAGACGGACAGACAGACGGACGAACCCATTTTAATAGTCCCCTGTTTTCTTCGAAAGGCGGGGGACAATAATTGGTTCGTATTTCTTGTGAGCACATCACAGTATAAACGTTTCAGTCAGTGGTAATTTTCGTGTGTTGATTTTAATTCTACCATAATATTGTAGCTATAGTATATACAATGATAAAGAGAGCACTTGGTCTGGATTGGTAAACGGAACCTGGGAAGGGATGTTTCTTAAAATGAAGAATGGGGTAAGTATCCAATACTGTAAAATAGTAATTCGGTTTCTATTCATGTTCTAGACGTTGCTACATAACTGTGTAATTCACGAACTTATACGTACATTATCTCCCTTTACTACAGACACGTTAACAGTGGCGTCCAATCAGAGGTTGTGACACAAACACACTCAAATCAAACATGGCGAACTCCACGGAAACCTTGACATTGAACAAACCTTGAACGTTGCAAATCGATTATCACTGGTAGACATTTTAGCTGGAAAGCGCGAGACTTGGTATTCGCGATGATCGAGAAATCTGTTAAGACTCTCAAGCTGTGACAGTACCTTATCGAAATTAGTGCCGAAATATGCAGGGTATTACGTGGAGGGCTTGATAATTTGTATGGAGTTAAAGAGAGACTAATCCTTCTTTTGAAGATGGTTTCTATTAGTATCTGAGACGGTGAATAATACGCCTGTGCGTTAACCAGGTCTCAGGTTCGCTCCTGCATTCAATTTCTTTGAAAATCGGACCGAAACTGCCGGACAAAATGGCCGCTCCTTGTTCACAAATAGTGTAAAAGTATGTAATACCAAGGTTGAGGACCCCCTAGAAGTCACAATCTTTATCCGATTTTAATGAAACTTGAAATGTATGTTAATAACCCACAGATCTTAGTAACTGTCGAAATTCGCACATAACACACTGTAACGTCCTAGATTATGGCCCCTGATTTACGACAAACCGTGTTTTTTAGTTTGTGAATTATCTAAAGGTCACATTTTTCATCCGATTTTAAAAAGCGTTTAAATATATCACCATTCTACCATAATGAAGGTTGACTTCGAATTTCGGGAAAATCGAAACGAAACTGACTGACAAAATGGCCGCTTTTTGTACGCAATTTGTGTAAAAGTATGTAATACGAAGGCTGTGAACCCTCTATAGGTCACAAATATTATCCGATTTTGATGAAACTTAAAATACATCTTTATATCCCAAAGATATTTGCGCATTTCAGACCATAACTATCTGGATTATGACCCCTGATTGTACGAAAAATTGCTTTTGTTTTTAGCTTATCTGGTTCCTTATGCCCTCCAATCATGTGCATGGGCGCGGGATGACGATGACCAGTCTAAAGGGACTTGGGAATTATAATATTGACAAGTAACTGCCAATCTTCATTTGTGATGATCTTAAAAGACCGGAAAATCTAGCCAATGACCTAGATAAGCTCAAATGTTGACATCCATCCAGACTAATATGCATAGAACATTTGTCTGAATGACAACTAGGTGTATGCCATACTTCACCAACTGGGGCCGGTTGCTCAAAACTACGTTATTTTAACGATCCGTTAGAGTTTAACGGATCGTTATCTTGGTAACTGTCGTTTGTTAACGCCACGGTCTGTTAAATTTCTGTTGCTGGAAAGTCAATTTTTAAAATGAAGAATGTTTCTTAAAATGAAGAATGGGGTAAGTATCCAATACTATAAAATAGTAATTCGGTTTCTATTCATGTTCTAGACGTTGCTACATAACTGTGTAATTCACGAACTTATACGTACATTATCTCCCTTTACTACAGACACGTTAACAGTGGCGTCCAATCAGAGGTTGTGACACAAACACACTCAAATCAAACATGGCGAACTCCACGGAAACCTTGACATTGAACAAACCTTGAACGTTGCAAATCGATTATCACTGGTAGACATTTTAGCTGGAAAGCGCAAGACTTGGTATTCGCGATGATCGAGAAATCTGTTAAGACTCTCAAGCTGTGACAGTACCTTATCGAAATTAGTGCCGAAATATGCAGGGTATTACGTGGAGGGCTTGATAATTTGTATGGAGTTAAAGAGAGACTAATCCTTCTTTTGAAGATGGTTTCTATTAGTATCTGAGACGGTGAATAATACGCCTGTGCGTTAACCAGGTCTCAGGTTCGCTCCTGCATTCAATTTCTTTGAAAATCGGACCGAAACTGCCGGACAAAATGGCCGCTCCTTGTTCACAAATAGTGTAAAAGTATGTAATACCAAGGTTGAGGACCCCCTAGAAGTCACAATCTTTATCCGATTTTAATGAAACTTGAAATGTATGTTAATAACCCACAGATCTTAGTAACTGTCGAAATTCGCACATAACACACTGTAACGTCCTAGATTATGGCCCCTGATTTACGACAAACCGTGTTTTTTAGTTTGTGAATTATCTAAAGGTCACATTTTTCATCCGATTTTAAAAAGCGTTTAAATATATCACCATTCTACCATAATGAAGGTTGACTTCGAATTTCGGGAAAATCGAAACGAAACTGACTGACAAAATGGCCGCTTTTTGTACGCAATTTGTGTAAAAGTATGTAATACGAAGGCTGTGAACCCTCTATAGGTCACAAATATTATCCGATTTTGATGAAACTTAAAATACATCTTTATATCCCAAAGATATTTGCGCATTTCAGACCATAACTATCTGGATTATGACCCCTGATTGTACGAAAAATTGCTTTTGTTTTTAGCTTATCTGGTTCCTTATGCCCTCCAATCATGTGCATGGGCGCGGGATGACGATGACCAGTCTAAAGGGACTTGGGAATTATAATATTGACAAGTAACTGCCAATCTTCATTTGTGATGATCTTAAAAGACCGGAAAATCTAGCCAATGACCTAGATAAGCTCAAATGTTGACATCCATCCAGACTAATATGCATAGAACATTTGTCTGAATGACAACTAGGTGTATGCCATACTTCACCAACTGGGGCCGGTTGCTCAAAACTACGTTATTTTAACGATCCGTTAGAGTTTAACGGATCGTTATCTTGGTAACTGTCGTTTGTTAACGCCACGGTCTGTTAAATTTCTGTTGCTGGAAAGTCAATTTCATTATCCGTTAGCTAACGGATTCATTAAAGTTAATCCAAGAGAATACTGTTAGTTCATTGGCTGAATTTTAAATTTTTGAATTCAAGTATAACAACTTCATAGAAGTTAGTATTAACAAGAAACTGAAGACAGTGAGAAAACACCATAGAATACTTTATTTTTTACTTTAGAAATTTTAGCATAAATCTAGGGAAAATTATGGGATTTGCACTACAGAATTATGGGGCCATTATTTCCCACAGGCCACCAAAATTCTGTAAAATAGTATAGAATTTCATCCTATAGAAAATGGAATAGGCCCGCATCGCCCAACCCTCTAAAATGTTCTATAGAAAATTACAAAGGTACAATGTAATCTATGACTTTTTGCTACAGCCAACTAATGCCATCATTAAACAGATAACGGAGACCAACACCTCCGTTAAATATAACGCCAAGTTAACTACACGTTAAAGTTTACGGGGCTTCCAGCAACAACCTTTCTATCCGTTAAAGTTAATGATCCGTTAACTCCAAGGCCTCGTTAAACCCCATTTAATTTCCTTTATTACAGGAGTTTGATTTCCTTTGTTCGGCGTCTTCGGTCAATGTTTGGCGTCTTCCAGCTGTGGATTATGTTTTTCCGCCATATATTATTGAAAACAGACATGCTCTTTACAGAAAAGAATTGCCAGCTCCTTCTTATTGGGTTGATGCTCAACCCTTTCAAGCCACTGTCTTGATTTTAATACTTCTAACATGTATTGTGGGTTGTGGCATGATGTGGTGTTTGGAAAAGGTCAAGATCAATCCAGATCTCATACAGCAACATGGAGATAAACCCGACACAATACACGTAATCGTGTTCTATGTGATAGGAATTGCTCTTAGTCAAGGTACGTGTAATGATTTAGATTTCGGAATCAGAAAATAATACAGCCATTCGATCCCTACCTCAGCCGAAACGATATATTACTAAGGTTCGCTGTTTTGGGTAGTTTCAACACACCATTTCTATAAACATGCAGTGAGGGAAAGGGGAATTTTAAAATAACATATACATATGAAGAGCCCGGGGAAGAACAATCTAAGTCACTTTTTCAACAAACCCCAGTTAATGGCGCCATCTGGTAGCACATTGTATAAGCTTTCTGTGGAGCAATCAATTTCAGGTAAAAACGATCGGCGTCACATCGAAGTAAGGTCCTTCTGAAATGGCCTCCCGGACAAATACAAGTCCGTCGTATTTATTTAACCTTAATTTGGCTTAAAAGTGGAAGTCAGTTGTTGTACTGGTAATTATGATTCGTATTAAACATCATTTTGAAGTTGTAATTAAACCCACTCGTTGTTCTGTTCGCGTCAAGTATTCTCGTCCAAAAGTCTGTTTTGCCTTTTATACGAAAAGACAAAAATGTGACTTCGATCGTTCTTCCCCTGGACTCTACATATAGATGCTGGTCCCGAAACATGGTTATTTTGACACGATGGTGTAATTCTGGAATATTCAAGAAAAATTCTTTGGTAAAAGTCTAATTTTTAGCATCGACTAAGTTCACTATGTAACTTTTATTAACAAAAAATGCCATATATTTTAAATCATCGATATTTTATTATTTCATTTATGGCCGCTGGCAACCATCTTGTGATCTTGCAGTCATAAACAAATTTCATCACATCAAGCCTTTCTTAGGGGAGTGGCCCAGCTCCTATAGTACAAACAGGAAGGATGAAATTGTTTTGTGTCGCTCTCGCATTGGTTATACTTTTTAAGACACACTTTCATCTTAAAGCGAGAGCCTTAACCGGAATGTAAACACTGTCATGTTCCTTTGATAGTTAAACACATTTGGTTCATGGTTGAGTGTAAGCATCTTCAAGACACTAGATTAAATCATTACCTTTGCCACTCCTTACACCGAGCCTGTTTTCTAAATTGCTTGACAATTGTTTTTACAGAATAATTTTTTAAAGTGCTTTTGCGCTTCTTGTATTTTAATTATATATACATAAGGGTTTGTGATATTTGTTTTTAATTAATATTTTCTGTCATGTTTATATTTACCTATATATATATTTATAAATATATAATATTGTGATTATTATTTAGTTCGTCTCCTGTAAACCACTATACGTTTGGGGCAATATAGCCTGGTTTGAGCTGACGTGCCATAAAACAATATTTCATTTATTATTTCTAAATTCCGATTTTCATTTTACTGTTTTTCTGACAAATTCACTGAGTGCTGTTATGAAATCCAAGCAACGGTGCGTTATAAAAAGGTATCTAATAACTAATAAAAAATGGGTTTTTTTTTGATTGATTATATGTAAAAAGTACAAATCCTAATACAGGTAATGATAAAGTCAAAATACTTCTAAGGTCAAGGTTAAATGTCAGATGTAATGTGTCAAATGACAAATGTTTTATTGGAATATGCTATTTTCTTGAGTGTCAACATTTTACTCTATGACATTTGACCTCTTTCGCATCTCATTTGTCCTTTACGCTTTCTACATAGCATTTTATGCACGGCACTATGTTGGATATGCAAATATAGGATATCACGTGACTTATTACATATACGGAAACGACGCCGAGATCAACCTGGCACTCTATAAGGATATTCCCCTAGCATACGAGGAAATCAACCTGACACACTAGTTAAAATACATGTTCATTGCCCTTTTCGAATATGTTAATACTTTTCTGGCAACCTTGAAAAACGTCGGGTGGTAAGACAATCTATTAAATGACGATAACAGGGGTATTTAAAGTAAAAATACGGGTCATATTCTCCCAGTTAGTCAAAATGACGTCAATAGGGATATTTGACGTCACTCACGTGGAAAATGAAAACGAAGCTGCAGATATGTATAAAGGTCAATTAGTTTCTTTTTGGTATGTTTTTCCTTTGTAATAATATTCGACAGAATGACTTTTAAAATTTCGCGTGTCGGATAAATGTTAATATTAAACTTATTAGTCATATGGGGATCACGTGGCTAAATGGGTAAGGCGCTGGCTCGCTAGCCCGGAGGTCGGATGTTCGATCCCTGCATTAACCGAGAAAGTGCATCCAGATTTTCCGGCGCGGTTTCCCCTTGTCAGTGACGGAGGGCCTGACACGGACAGCTGTCTAGTCGTTCGGATAGGACGCAAAACCGAGGTCCTGTGTATATATTGGCGTGCACGTAAAAGATCCGTTGGCAGTTGGAATTCGATATAAGAGTAGGCCGTAGCATACTGTATGGCGTATGCCCATCTTCATTAGCCCAGTTTAGGAGCAGAACAGTAGGACGTTAAACCCCATTTCATTTCATTTCATTTATTTGTCATATTAAAACATCTTTTTGTGGTAGAATTCTTATTTAAGGGTACATCCAATTAAAAAGCAGATCATATTTCGTTTCCTTTTTCATAGTTCAAAATTTCGTTTTAATTGTCTTCATTTCTGGAAGTATAGTTAAATTACCCGCGTTCCAATTGGTGTGACGGATTAGCCAATCAAATTGTTCGTTGGGTCGATTTCTTTGGTCTTATGCGGAACCGTGGGTAGACATTCGCATTTCCGAATTGAAAAACCGACGCTGATTAGTTAATCGAATGGCTGGCGTCATAGGGTCAATGTCCCCTCGAACGACCCCAGACACCCGCTCCAGGTATAACAGCTTAGATATTCATGTAGTGGGGGCCATAAACAAGAAACGCATAAAAGATATGGGTTTTAATCATATTGATTAAGCAATAAAACAAAAAGGTTCGGGGAAGACAGTTCGAATGAGTAAGGTTATGTAGGAATTAAAAAAAATACTTCACCTTAGAATTCCACCTAACTATTGTCAATAAGGAAATCTAAAATGTCTTCATCATAAAACCATCTTAATTTCCATGGACGTTTCTTTGAATATTGTAGGTATTACAATGAGGGCCTATTCACACAGAAGCCGAATCTTTATCGCCGCTTTTTGGAGTTTAAGTGTCGTGATCGGGTCCATTTACAGAGCTAATTTCGTGGCTATATTAACGGCCTCTAAAACGGTTGCACCATTCAACACTCCAGAAGAAATGATAAACAGCAGTTACACATTGGGTGCAATTGCAAATACTTCTATGTTACAGAGTCTTAAGGTAAAATATTTACAACAAATTACTTTCAATTAAGAGTAGGGGTCTTCAAGAGCTAAATCTGCCGGATATCAAATAAATCTAGTAGCAGTCATTAAAACCGTATCGCCTGCATACATAAGGAGGAAAATACTGATAATTCATATATTGAAAAGACCGGCAAAATCTTTCAAAGTATGTCTTTTTACATTCAAATAAATTAGGCAGTTTGCTATTTATTCTTGAAAAACATTTTACAATCGACTATGTGTCATTACCGGAATAATGCATTTTCGTTTTTCTTGAATTTCCCGAGGGTACTGATCAATTTACCATGCAACCTGAAACTTCACCAACAAACCCCAACGGTATCCTGCTTTTTTTAAAATCGTTTCATACCCGGAAAAAGATATTTGCGTTTTTCCAGTATTTCCGGGAGGCACTGTTTATTAGTACAGACTAAGAGCCCGAAATCTTGTTACTTCATCAACGGTCGTTTTCACGGCTTCATTTTTTCGAGCTATCTGGCGTGCTTAGGGGAGTTGTGCTAGGGGTCAGTTTTTGCACTGGTTTAGACGTGCTGTGAAGATGAAGATAAACTCTAAATTATGTTTATTTTCGTCTGAATTGCAGTAGTTGATTCACAATCATTGCATTTCTGGACTTGTTCCAGGTCATTTTTATCTGATGACAATAAAATCCGAAAAATAATATCTAATTTCGGACCCTGATAGAATTACCTAAGACTCGTCTGCTGCCTTGGTTGATTGATGATCCTTACCTTTCTGGGCAAGCTTCGGTCCACTCTTCATTTGAATCTGCATAACCTGGCTGAGTTTCAGTCAGTTGAGCTAAGTTAAGTCCCCTGTATCAATACAATATTTGCATTTAAATTGATTCTATCACACCCCGGTTATACGTGACAAGGAGTAGGGTCGCCTGTCCAACATCGTGTGTTTTCTCCGGGTCCTCCCACTGCTAAAGACCCCTACGCGCAAGTGAAGTATTGAAATAAAATTAAAAACCATATGTTGGTCCCGAAATGACCTAGTTTGTGTCGAGTGGACTTAAACCCCATTTCTCTCTCCCTTTCTCCCCTTTTTGCACCACTGTGAATAGGAGACGATGCTAGAAAGGTCCCTGGAACTTCGTCGGGTAACAATGGTATGGAACCTGTTAGTGAGCAAACGCCATACTGAGTCACCGTGGCGCTAAATGCAAAAAGGTTTCATAATAATGAAAAGCGATGCCCAGCCGTGTACACCTATGCCTGCGCTTGAAAGAACCCTTAAACCCCTGTTCATTTTCTTTGCAGAATGAAAAAGTACCAATCTATAGAAAGATATACCAAAAACTGATCAACGATGGATATTTGACTAAAGAACGTGACACACAACTACGAAAGATTTTACAGGGAAATCACGTGTTCTTCACGGAATCGACTTCCACTGCCGAGTTTTATTCTCAAAACTGTGATGTTGTACGCTTTGAATTCGATCTGTATACAGTCATGTACGCCCTTGCTACACCAAAAATATCGCCCATACGACATGACCTAGAACGAGTGTAAGTTATTTACAATTCATTAACGTGTACTTTAAAGGGACTATTAAAATATGTGATTCTAGTACCATTTTCAACTATTTTAAGGTTCCAATGAATAGGGCTATAGGCCCTTTAATAGCAGTTTTCCCAGAAAATAAGTCGAATATACTTTTTGCATTATGAATATTACTCCACAATTGAAATTTAAATGTTTATTAGATTATTATTTGAAGTTCAAATACTAATTATATTTTTTTGTGAATATTCAAACAGCATGAGGCATCTGGATGAATCTGGAATACTAAACATGTTATTCAAGAAATGGCTGCCTCATCGAAAGGAGGGGTTTTGTGATGACCGCATGAAGACAAAGCAACTCCAGTTTACTGATATTTATGGGGTTTTGATTTTGCTAAGTTGTTGTGTGGTCGTCTGTTGCCTTGTATTGTGTATGGAAAGATTGGGATTTACTGTTATGAAAGCTAGATCACGAACAACAAGACGATAAAATCAGTATCGAATCTGGATTCCAGAGATTACCTTACCTTTCGTTCATCTCTGGTAACCGCTTGCTTCTTTGGTCATCCCCTATACTTCAGTGGACGAGGGCGTTCGGCAAAACCAAGGCCCTACGTACACGTTATAATACCATTGCCAGTTAGAAGCCCTTCATAGCACACTGCACGCCATATGCTTTATAAGTGCTTTATCGACTGTGTTAATTGAACGAATTTTAATAAAATATAGATAAATATTTAGAGGCGACTTCAGCGGAACAGTATAATTATTCAATTGTGTTACATTCTGTTAATTGAGCAAACATTTACCACCAATTGCCACTGCCATCTATTGAACACAAACAGTAGGTTTAAATTTTTCGTCAATGAATAAGTTTTATCACGTTAGACGTTTTATTAAAAGATGAAGTGAAATTAATTAATATGTGTCGTCTATTTATTTTGCAATTGATGCAATACGTTTGTTCATATATATATATATATACGTATGTTAGTTGTGTTCATGTATGATTGTTGTACTAAATCATGTGATTTATGGAATCGTATGCTGCTCCACGTGGGCGTTATGCAATAAAATGTCTTTTATCTTATATTTCTCAACCCTACGGTAATTTACAGATCAACAGACCTCTCTTCCAAGTCTTTGAAATACATATCAATGTACAGAGGGACCTCGTGTGTCAATTGAATGAAATATCAGCAGCGTGAGTGCATCCGCTACAATGGGACAGGTTTCTGTTACATCTAACGGAATTGTATGTTCGACTTGAAATTAAGTTCGTTCAGAAGCACTCGCGGCTTTGTACAAGTGGTCACAAGTTCGCATACCAACATCAACATGCTTGTATTATATAGTTAACCGTTCTTTGATCTGATCTACGTGGATGTCCTCGTCATAATACGATATTAATAGTCGAACAAGTTGTGTACATTTCAACTGAACACAAAGGTCGTCCATCGACACTTATTGTTCAATTTGTATGCCTTATTTCTACGGCCTAACCAGTTAGCGAAAGAAATCGGATTCAGATTGAATCATACTTGAATGATATTAACTAGGTTGCTCCTGTTATTCCAGTATTCCCCAAAAAATTTAGTTTATCCTGTAAATATATAACTGAAAGGGCTTCTTAATTGTGGGGGCATACAGAAAATAGTTATATAAATGTTCTGTGATGATTATGTTAAGAAGCATTTCCCCGACCTCTCTACTTTTATTTTGTTTACTTTTCAATGGATACATACTTGTAGGTAAGTGCAGCTTTAATTATTACTTTGGCGACAGCTATATTATCTAGGTTAAGCCCCCGTCAGACTGGGGTGGCGACCTTACTGCGCTGTTGCGACCGTGCGGCGACCAGAAAATACACAAGGTCGTCGGCAAACGTGAACACAACGCGAGAAATTGTCCCCCAAAAATTAAAAACTTGAAAAAAGTCGTGTTCTCATAGTTTTCCAGTTCAGATCGCATAACCTTGGCGTTTATTTTGAACATGCTCAAAACAAACGCCGTGACTCGGCGATCATTGGCGACCATGGTGACCACAGCACGATAGCTGGCGTTTCTGCCACGCTTATTGCGATCTTGACACACTCTAAAACCATTTTCCATCCCCGTAGCAGCGCGGTAAGGACACCACCCCGGGCTGACGGGGGTATAAAGGTCACCATACAAAATAAGACGCCATTTGTGTTCGCGTGCTGTTAAATTTTGACGCATTAATCTTAACATTGGAACAAATGAACGGATTTTAATACAACCTGAAGTGTTCATAATGCCCCCTGTCGGACCGGGAAGGCGTCCTTACGGCGACCAGAATATGCACAAGGTCGCCGGCAAACGTGAACACAACGCACAAAAATGGCCCAAATAATTAGTAACTTGAAAAAAGTGGTGTTCTCACAGCTTTCCACAACCATGGCGTTTGTTTTGAACATGCTGAAAACAAACGCCGTGACTCGGCGATATCTGGCGTTTACACAACGCTTTTACCACGATGGCGATCTTGACGCGCTCTGAGACTATTTTCCGTCGCCTTAGCAGGCAGTACGGACGCCACTCCGGTCTGACGAGGGTAGAACTTCTGCCATGTTCCATCACATATCACACCAATGTCGATGGTTTCTTTGTCTACGAGGGAAATTGTCACCATCAATGTAAGCTTGACGAATAAATTTTGAAACTTCCTTGGTGAGGTGAAACTGAGCTTCTTCAGTACTAGTATTTTCAATTCCCTTTAAATACTTCTTTCTCTAAACTGAAAGGCATGTCAAAATTTTTTGCTTAATTTGTCTAGGTCAGCTTAACCACCACCAGACTCTCTCATCCCCATAACTGTACATCGGTTAACTTCAGCGCCACGGCAGTGATTAGTATCTTTATGAAGTGTTTGGAAAACTGGTAGTTTCTTCACAAATATTACAAAATATATTAAATTTACTTGAAAGTCCCGTAAACTTATTTTTATTAACAGCAAAGTCATTTTACACCAGTAGTGACGTATCATAAGCAATCTCAATAGAGACTACACTGTTCTTCAAAAGGCACTAACTCTGTTCAGAATAAAGTTGTTTGAATGAAATGTTAACCATATCCTTTTTTCATTATCTATTTTCTAGAACTATAACAGCGAGAACAGCCAGCTATTTATCTAAATCTTACATAATGCATCTTTAAGCACACCGTTTTCTCACATGGGATGGCTCGTGAGAGCTCGCACACCCACCATTCCAGTTAGAAACCGCGATGATTACAGTTGTATCTAACAATGTTTTACATATAAAAGTAGTTTTACTAGCGTATTTCCCTTGGCTTTTTGGCTAACTTAAGTTGGCATCTTTTCAAAAGACCTTTATTGGATGAATGTTTGAAAAGTTTTATAAAATGTTTACATAATCTGTTGGTAATGGGCATGTTTTTGTATTTGTTCGAATTGTTCAGGGTATATGCGGATGCCTAGTTCCTCAGCTACCTGGAGGTCAAAACAGAAGGATTTCTCACGCCTACTGTGATTGGGTTCCTTTGCTGTGGACACACTGGGATTAAGACAGTTTTCACATTTATTTAATCATATACATTCTGATCATTCAAATTGCATCTAGTCATTTTTCAAATTTTCAAAAACACACATGGTTGACTAAGGACGCACGGGTCTTGGTCGAATGCACGCCGAGCGTTTTATCTAGTCTCGTCCTCCAAATTGTTTCTATTTTTAGTAACAGTGTAATATTAAAGGCCCTGTCTTGCAGTTAAGTTTTATACAAACTAATCTTTTTTCCCCACACACTGTGTAACAAGATGGCCAATATAAAATCCTTCATTTTAGCGATATCATTGCTATTTTATATTATCGCCGTTAGTATGAAGACCAACTTTATGAACTTGATATTGTCATTTGCCACTGTCATGACCCTTTTCGTAATTTGTTCGAGACCTCGGTATATGCATTTGCGACATGGTTAATGCACCCTTCCTTCTCAATGTGAACATTGCCATAAGGTTTTAAATTATTGTACCCCGCCTTTCGAAGAAAGCAGGGGACTTAAAATGGGTTCACAATAACTATCCTTCTAGTTGAGGTAGAATGTTCAAACTTGGTATAGGCGTTCATTCGGTGAATGCCTTGATGGAGTTTGATGATGAACATTGTCTGCTTGCGGTAAGCAGAGATAAGCAATCTCATTGGTGGATGCTTTGGGGCATAATAACTTTGGTTATGATTAAGTGAGAGTGATGAAACTCCGAGTATAGATTCATTATATCATTACCTTGACTAAACAACTCTGCTTTTAATTGAGGTAGTTTAATGATTAACATTTTTAGCTAAAGCTATAAAGCAGAGCTAAGTAATTTCATTGGTCGGTGCTTTGGGACAAGATGACTTTGATTCTATCTGATAGACAGTGGTAAAACTTAGTGTATAGTTGATAATCAGTTTGATTGCTTGATACTTTTGAAAAAAAAATAGATGTGCGATTAATTAATATGTCATCTATTTATTTTGGGATTTCGGCGGGGGACATCAGCCAGTGATCACTGTTGGCTTGTTTATATTATATCTTTTGCCTTGTTTTAAGTTCATTTGTCATTTGCGAAGGACATGCGATGGAATCTATATTTCATGGAGAGGGGTTTAATATAGGCTATGCCTTTTCCCCAATCCCTATTCAGATACAAATCTGAATAAAATATTGCTTATAAAAATCTATATTTTAATAGAATCCTGTCGGTTGAAATTTAAATCTATTATCTTAAATAATGTGTATCTGTTACACCTCGTACGTTTTTTTGTTTTTTATTATCATTTCAGAAACTACAACAGATGAATTTAACTGGCTGAATGTTAAAACATGTTCATTAAGTCACATAATCAGTGGACTTGCCTCTGATCATGTGATCATATTATACGAAAACAAAACAGGTAACGCATATCCGGTTTTAGATGACGATGGAGTTAGTTCCCCTGGTTATGATTTCCGAACGTAAACTAAAAAAGAGGATTTCAATTAGCTCAATATTAATACATCTTCTTTAAGTCATTTGATTATATTAGATGAATAAAAAAACATGTAACTTATATCTGGCCCCGAGTTCACAAAGCATTCTCAGACTTAAGTCAAGAATTTACTCAACTTTCAATCACTGTTTATGAGAAATATCCTTGATCCAGAAACACAAAGATTTGCACACGATTTCTTATTGATGTATTGGATACATTAAAACAACAAACGTTTTATAAAGGGCTAAATTGTAGTTAAAATATGGCCAACAATTTTGAATAAATTCTTAACTTAAAGATACATTATGGGAGATAAGATAACGAGATGGCAGATCTCGCTATAATAGTTAAAAACTAGATAGTGTCAAGGTAATTTGCTGAAAATTTCAGTCAAATTGATCCACTATGAGCCGAGAAAGAAGCGGGTAAAATTTTGGCATAGTCTCGGTCATCATTACTAAAATCATTAATATAAACAGCTTAGTCTCGATTATCCACTTTTTTTAATTTAATTATCAACGGCCGTTAGCGGCATATAGGAATCTAATCCAGCCAACATCGAAGGCTAGCCTTGACATCGAGAGTTTATTATGGTCTGGAAAAGTTAATTAATGTCTAATTGATAATTTAGATAACATTTCAGGCCTAAAGAAATACTTGTAATAAGCAGATTTTGCTCTTGCATAATGCATGTTTAAGTCTAAGAATGCTTTGTGAACTCGGTGTCAGGGTTTTCGAGGATTTTGGCGTTAATTCCATTGTTTATGGTTTCTGAAAGCATGATTTTGCGTTTATAACAAATAAACTGTCGATCATATCCAGTTAGACAATGATCAATCAATGCAGACTATAAAACTTAAAGA